AGTTTAGAAGTGTCATAATTGTTAAATTACTCTTTGAGTTATGTGACAGAGAACTGAGTCCATGCTGTGTCCAGTTTCAACCACAGACCCTTCAACACATATATACTGAAAATGACTTTCAAACACACTTACACGTGAACATGGCAGGCAAATACTACACTCACTATGCAGCTAAGAGTTACTGACATAATAAGCACACGTTTTTATGTTCTAACATTTATGGCAGTGACTTCAAACTAACATGGTAGGCAATGTTAATTTAATGAATGTCAATAAAACCTCCCTTGCCTTTGGACTGGAAAAGAATGGAGAGGTGGAGAGAAAGAAGTACTGTTTTCTATATTGGAAAACATAATTCCAAGGCCTATCTTTGGCCAAAGGTCTCACCTACTTTGCAATTTCATCTTCACTGCTATTGCAAAATGCAAAAATTGCTGCCTGATCCAAAGCAGCCAAAACATACAGTTTCCTTTCCACATGCAAGTTATGTCACATTCAACTTCCCACAAAGAACAGAACCAACCGCGTTGTCATCACGTTGAGAAATCAACAAGACTCCTAGGACAGCTGGAGAGGGTATAAAACCTGGTATCTAGCTACCTAGAACATGGTATATTAGTCTTGCTATTTTTTTAAGGCAGGCAAGCCAAAAGATGTGAGTCATAACACTCATGTGTCACAACAGTGATTCACAAATACAAGTGCACACAATGCATTTATATAAAGCAGATAAAGGATCTCCCAGAGAAACAGGAAGACCTTTCCTGAAGGCTGGGCAAAGCGTGTCCCACTGTTAAAGGCACCATATGAACAACTTGGTGTGACTTAGAGAGCAATTACAGCACACCTGGTAATGATACTTACATCCCCATGCACTAGTAAGCGGGGGCGAACACTTTATGTTAATCACATTAGGAGATCCTGTGGTCCAGGCCAGGAGAGAAGAATTTGCCAGACCCTTGCCCTGCTCGTGCACAGCCTCAGCCAACCTGTTTGGCTTGTTGTGCCCCGGATCCACGGCGGTTAAAGGGCAGGGAAAATTATTTATTTCCTTATTTCAGAGGAGTAGGAGCTGTGCTGAGCTACGGCGGTGCGGGGGTCAATTAAGTGCTTTCAGGAGAAGCAGGGTCGCGCTATCTCGGCGGTCAGGCCTGGCACGGCCTATGACCCTGTGCACAGACCTAGGAGCACCCCTTCGGGGGGAAGGAGGCCCCGGCCTGAGGGGGCACCACAGGCCCCGGCCTGAGGGAAGCCGAGGGCCCGCATCCTCCCGAGGCATCACCCCGCTCCCTCCACCCCCCGCACCGGCAGCCCATTCCCTCAGGGTCCGGCATCGCGCTGCTCCCCCCAACCCCGCTTCCCTCCCCGCCCGAGCAGGAGCTCCCCGGCCGCCCCATCCCCTTCGTGAAACCGGCACCGCCTCCCAGGCCCAGCGCGGCCCCCCCC